TTTTTTTTCCAAAGGTTACAACATTACACCCACCCTCCTACTACTTTCTCTTTTCGATTTATTTTCTGTACGTTAGAAAATAATCATTTTTGAAAATGTTTTCGAGATAAGAGGAAAGAAAAAAAAAAAAAAAAAAAAAAAAAAAAAAAAACAACATTTATTATCGCAATTTAAGAGAGAAATAAAACAAATTGTGTCAATTAAATATGAGACATTGTTTTCTGTCGTTATTATATTTGTTTACAAATAAAAACGAATAGAACAAAAATGATAGATGAACGAGTAAATATAAAATGATGATACTTTATACATTTGTGTCACGATTATTATAGGCTAATGTTATTACTAACGTAATTTCTCTATTTCTATAATGACTCATAAAGTTTAACCTTTCTTAATACATACATATATACATACATATATATATATATATATATATATATTTTTTCGTTATCTTCTTGTAATAATAATAGTTAGATTTCTGTATATTGTACGAGTTCGTTCGACAACCAACTATCGAGTCATCCAATTATATTATAAGTTCATTACTTTCTTATCTAATTAACATTTAACGAGGAATCATTTAATACGAATAAATTATTACACACACACACACACACATAAAATGTTTATTTATTTTAATTATTATAATATACGTTTTTTATTATTATTTTTTTTCTTTTTTAATATTTGTGAACACAGGAACAAATGTTTTTTTTTTATTTTTTTATTTTCTTCGCAGACCTTATGATTTTTTTGTTCACGACAAAAAATAAATATATAATAAGTATAGGGGGGGAAGAGGGGGGTGTTAGAGTATTGTATAATATATTAAGAAACTTTTTAATCTATTTAAACAATAATAGAAATTTTTTTTCTTTTTAACGCTTTGTTACACGCGACATTATTCGTTAAATAATAAATTTCAAATGAAAACTTTAATGCTGCATGATTTGTATGGTTTTTTTTTTTTTTTATACTCGCACGGGACACGTTTAAAAATGCATTATTTTTATTTATACTTTTTATATTTAAAAAGTAAAACGTATTTGAAATTATTATTATTTTCAAATATATGTGTACAAAGTTTTGTTTCAATTTATATCGGTATAAATGTAATTAAATTCAAAATTTATTTTGATTGTTGTGATGGACACTTTTACGATATCAAATAATTATTATTATTCACTACAATATATGTATAATAAATCTCTGTTATAAAAATTATTAATAATAAAAGATATATATTTTAATTTGCTACGAAGTAAAAAACCTACGTTTTCCAAAGTTCGTTGCTTTGGAGAAAATCTAGGATATATGCGTGTAGCATAAAAATAGATATTTTCTCACAAGGAAAAGAAAAATAATATTCTATTCTTCAAACCCGTCAAAAGCATTGTTTCCTTATACCTGAAAAAAGGAAAAAAGAACCGATAGGAGGAAACTACATGGGGACGACACGTTTTAGATATTTTTGTCATTTTATCTAAGGTCAGTTCATTGTTGGACTATGATAATAGACTGCAAAGTATAGATTTGCTTTTAAAAAAAGAATAAATCGTTTTGTTCCCAAAGTTTTACAAGACCAAAAATTCTTTTATATATATATATATAATTCCTTTTTAACAGGAAACTTTCCTTTTTTTATTCTATTGTGAATAGAGGAAAAAAACATTTGTGAAATTCTAGGAATTTAGTTTAGTATTCAAACACATATTCAAGGGTTAAGGGGTAGAAAGAAAACGATGGTGGTAGTAGTAAAAATAATGGTATGGTGGTGATGGTAGTAAACTCGAATCAAAAAGTATATATCGAAAAATAATAATTAATAATACAAAAATTGATTGTTATTGTTTATAGTTAATAATTTAAACGCATTCACGTGGCACATCTTTTTGTAGGATTCTTAGTAGTAGGTGTGACACATCTGGTGGTTGAGTTATTTAAAACGGGTTATACGTGCGCACGCATGCACAAAGCTTTGCCTGCTTGCTTGCTAGCTTGCTTGCTACCACATTACCCTCAAATGCACCGTAACAGGGCTGTGCCCGCTTCGTCGTTGCTTGCATTCACGCGGGCTGAAGTAGGGTATTCGCCATCGTCTTGTGCGCATGCGCATTGATTGTCCTGCAACTCTTCTTGCCCATTGGTCTGCGCACGCGATCATGTACGTACGTTCGTGTCTGCTCTTTCTGCATTTCTTTTGTTGCTTCGAGGTTTGACTACTTCTCTCAGGGACGTATCGATCAGCCCCGATTATACGGCCGGCGTGTATCTTATATCAAAATTTCTAATTTTAATAATCATTATTTATATTCGTTTCAATATAATTTTCTTTTTTTTTTTTTTTTTTTTTTTTYTTTWTYTTYTTTCGAATCGAATTGAAATAATATCGATATATAGAGTTTTTTTGCCCCCCCCCCCCGATGAATCTTTTTTCGAATGAATAATATTTCTTTTCATTTTTTTCCCCATTTTTATAAATGGCTGGAGGTTTTTCTCTTGTGATGGTTTTATACCTGATAGAGAAAGTTGAAGAACACATGGAGAGAGTCATTCTTCTTTAGTTTTTCGGTTTAACCAAGGTCAGTTTATTATAGGATCACGACTATTTGGGAACGTTTGATTTTCTTAGGAATACCTATTGACAAATTTTATCCTCGAAAAATTGAACATTTGTTTATAATAAATTATGTATTGGGAATAATTTGTAAATATTTTTTCGAATGCGAGTCAAATAACATAATTTGTTTTTATTATCAGTGATAAGTAAAATATTATTTCAAATAGTTAATAAAATAAATTAGGACTATTATGTGTTTTAAACGTACGTTAAAAGTTTTTAAAATGAAATATATTTATATTATAGAATATTATATAGAAATTATAGATATTATAGAAATATTTTTCCTAAAACAATTTACCTAAAGGTTGTTTACAAATTTATGACTAATCTAAAAGTAAACAGATATATATTTGACATATTAATTAAGAAAAATATAATATTGAATTTTGTTAACAGCGTGTGAAAAATTATTTTACAGAAGCCATTTATTTTTCATTTCAAAAATATCCATTTTATGATTTTTGAAAGAGTCATAGTTCCAACCAATCACAGCCCCGAAAGTTTGTACGGAAGAACCCCAGAACAAGGGTGGGGGTATACGTTTTCCAATAGACAGCGCTGGTTTTCGTTAGTTATTTTTTGACTCGCTAGAGGGTTACGAGTCGCAGTAGATACAGTACGTATGTGAGGGGGAACTCTCACTCCTATGAGAGAACTGTTCCATAACGTTTCAAGTACTTTGTCGAACTTTACGTAATACACAAAAATATAATAAAAAGAACTAGTAGAAAATATTTGGTACTCGTGGAGTAGCCATCCACCGAGGATAGCAACAAACACAAACTACGAAGTGTTTAAGGAAAAAAAAAGAAGAAAAAAAAATTCAACGAACGGTGTGACGTTTCGCATGCGTCGGATGGCCTTGTGTGTTGGGGAACACGTAACGTGAATTCTCCTCAGTACCTGAATAGTGTTCTTCTATTGGTGCACAGTGAAAATTTATTTTCAAATTGGAAGGAAATGTGTTCGCGCGCGATAACCCTTTTTCGTTCGCGCGTTCACTCATAAGAAAAACGTAGGTATTCATAAATACACATACGAAAGATGTACACGATAGTTGTTCATCATTCGTTTAATTTTATTTTGCATTAACCGTTTAAAAGATATTTGCTGTTCGTCGTCGCCGTCGTCGTTCCGTTGGCGATAAGAGCGTAACGTATTTTGTTCAAAAAAAAGAGAAAAAAAAAACTAATAAGATAGAAATAGATGAATAGATAGATAGATAGATTAAAAGGAAAAGAGTAGAAGATATATTATAGGTTTCGGTTGCTGGCGCCGTAAAGCGCCGCTGCGTGGTGCCGTTGTCGTCGTCGTTGTCGTCGTTGTTGTAAATGCCGCCCGCCAAGTGTCTTTCGCATTTATTTCGTGCTTGCAAAATATACACCACCACCGATTGATTATTTACGTGTATGAAGAAATTATCGTCATCGTCATCGTCATCTTGTTCGGTGCGCGTTATATATTACATATAACAGTTAAAACAATACGACAAACGTGTGTAGAAAGAAAAAGGATTATTAACAAGAGCGTTAAGGTGCGGGGTGGTTACAAAGAGGGGGAAGAAAACGAGGAGCGCTGTTGTCGCCAAAGGTGAATCCGGCTTTAGTTTCTTGTGTGCCATTCGGCAAATTTCGGCACCCGACCGAAACTTTCCGAGCAGCGCCACACGGTGGACAGAGAGAAAAGATACAACTACTACTATTACTATTCGGTAATGATAGTGTAGTAGTAGTAGTGGTGGTGTAGTGGTGCAGGATAGAAAGAGAAAATAGGAAGAGTCAATCACCGTTCGTGCTGAGAGAATGAGATAGATACAAACAACAAAAAGAGGGAAAGAGAAGAAAGAAAAACGGAAATCCCGTAGGAAATTAAGCACCATACGGTGGAGAGAGATATATAGATATATATATGCATAGAGAGAGAAAGACTCTTTCGATACTCGTGATAAATGCGTAATCTATCCCCCACCATTTTTGCTTCTCCTCTTCTTCCTCATAGAGAACCGGAAGAGAGGGAGGGAGGGAGTGAGTAAGTGAGTGAGTGAGAGGGGAAGAGTCGGCGCCGTGAAGAGGGAGTAGCCGATGTCGTGACTTAAATATCGATTTTGGCACGGATGAGCACCAATAGCCCGTTTACATCGGTTCCTTCCGTTTCTTCGGTTATCCTCGTCGTCCTCGTCGTCGTCGTCGTCTTCTTCGTTACCGACGATTATTTTTCATGTACGCGCGCGCGTGGATATACATTTTGACCAAAAGAAAAATAGATAAATTAAATACGAGAAAGAATAGATAGATAAAAAAAAAAAAAGAAAACAAAATGACATGTGAGGTTCATCATACCTTTCGGTACATCGGATAATTAGGACAATAATGAGTAAAAAATTTAGTTCTTTTAATTAGTACAACACAGACATCCTCAGTGTAAACATATATATATATAAATAATATACTCTATTACTTGAGAGATAATAATATTATTAATGTAATATTAATTAACAACAAAACTCTTGTTGCGGGTGCATCATCGACGCGTATTTTTTTTTCAAAAAGAAAAAAAATAATATCCAAAGTTCTCGTATTCGTGGTCACGTGCGTTCGATCTACTCTACTCTATACACTACGAGAGGAAAGCAAACAGCCACGCAACGTGGTGTGTTGGTGCATGCGTGCGTGCGCGCGCTTGATGTCTGTGCGTGCGTGTGTTGCGCGCGCGCGCGTGTCTCTCTGTTACACACGGTGTGAAGAGAATCGTCGAGAGAGAGAGTGTGTTTAATAATACACACGAAGAAAAGAGAAGAGAAGAGAAGAAGGGGCGTGTATACTACATGAAAGAGAAAGAGGGGGAATCATTTTAAATTTCCGTGCATCTGATTCGTTTCGAAAAAAAAAGAAAAAAGGTTTTCTTTAATCGACGACAATAGAGAAGAAGGAGGAGAGAAGAAGAGCATCCCCATTCGTATATATTACCGACTGACTGGTGGTGTGGCGGCAGGAACGGATACAATAGTAGTAGTAGTAATACATAGTAGCGGTACGGACGCACGGCGGCCATCGATAAACCTCTTCGATAATTTTCGTGAAACGTCGTCTATCTTCGGCGCTCATTCGTATTTCGGACGTCGTCGAAGTCGGTCGGTTCGGTTCGGGTTGGTCGATCGGTTGGTCGGTCGGTCGATTAGTCATTCAACCGATACCGGTGTAGTAACATCTATAGTGTATATAATTAAAAAAAAAAAGAAAAAAAAAAGGGAGAAGTAATACTCACTCACTCTTTCTCTCTCTCTCTTTCTCTCGTTATTATAATTCGAATGATATACAAAAATACGCGCGTTATTAGACGAGATTTGAAATAATAGTAAGAAAAGAACAATATATAAAAAAAATCGGTTATAATAATTCTTTATTAATCGTGTCTCTTCCGTCGTTAATAAAAAAGGAAATATTATTTCGAGAGTGTGTATATAAAACGCTTCTTCTTGCTCTTGGAAGAACGGCAGCCATCAGCGCCGCCGGCAGCAAGCAGCAGCAGCGGCGACGACAGCAAACACAGCAACGTATCGCTAACAGAGTATACAGCAGCAACGATATTCATGTGTTCTTTTGGTAGCAGAAACGAGCCGCGTTATCATCATCATCATCCACACGTTAATCCGTACATCTTTATCGAGATTAATAATACAAGGGAGGAGGATACGATAAGAAGTTGTAAAAGGAGACACGGAAAGAAGGATATTGTGGTGGTATCGATGAAGAATTTACAAAGTGGTTAATACAACGAACGATCGACGATCGTATCGTTCGTTGTCGTCGATAACAGAAAACGATGACGTCATGGTGCTCCATCGCCGATTAAAACGACCGTAAAAAACAGAAGGTAGTGTTGGTTAAATAATTGATAATAATATTTTTTACAACCCCCGAAGAATAATCAATCTTTCTAAATAAGAGCTTATATATATATATAGAATATACACGCACGCTCTAATTTAACGAAAAGAACCAAAAATTACTAGAACAGAAATATATTATAATCGATCTTTGGAAAAGATATATAACAAACAAACAAAATATTCCAATTTTTAAACGCGTGTTGTTTCCCCATTTTACATCTAATATATACCTTTTACTCTCTCTCTCTCTCTTTTTTATTCATTTTTATTCTCCCATAAAACAATATTTAATTCGACATTAGAAAATCTTCGGGAATTCAAACGGAATATATATATATATATATATGAAAAAAAGCGCAATCGAACAATTAAAACAAACAAAATAAATGATACACAAACTGCGCGATATTTAACCAACGATCTTGGACAAGGAACGTCGGTGAGGCCGGACAAGGACCAACGGCAACGGTGGAGAACGTAGACCAACGACGAAGATTGGATTCGAACATAGGAATAAAGAATGGTGTCGAGGTTTGGAGTATCGAAGGAGGGCGGAGTGGACGTTGCTGCCGTGGGAACAATGCAATGTATTATAGGAGCTCATCACCATCATCATTACCCGGGTCCACATCCTCAAAATCCCCAGCCGGGCCACCATGTACATCATGCTACACATCCACCACCACCATCGCCTAGTCCTCATTTAAACCATCAACTCAGTCACCACCAGATCGCAGTGAACATCAACCAAATTGGTCAGCAGCTTGGTCACCAAGCGCCACCATTACGTGTTTTCACACAGAATAGTAAGTATTGAAGAAGAATTAAATCCTTCCAAGTTGAAGATACATAATGTAGTTAAAGTATAGATAAATAGATAAATAGAATTAGTAATTAAGATCGTGCATTGATCATTGGCTATATAAATTCGCGCATACGTATTATGGGTTAGAGAAATGTGCTTTTCTTCTTCTTCTTCTTCTTCTTCTTCTTCAGGTCACTGACGCGTTTCCCATTTACCCCTTCGACATATTTCTTTTTTTCCCCCAAATACGCTTGAAAACGTGCATCTAATATGAATGCATCGCATCAATGAAACTTTTTCGTCTATTTTTCTCTCGGCGTATACAATAATTTCTCATTGTATCGTTTAATCTTAATGCATAGACAAAAATAATAATTTTATGGTGAATTATAATATAGTTTATTTGAAAAATAGGGACACCACCACTAGGAGTTTATCGAACTTTATTTCGTTTAATAAACTATCATGGATGTTGATTAAACAAAAAGAATTTTCTAATATCGTGATTCAAAAATTGATGCTGTCGTATTCTTTACTAATCGAAATGAAACCAACCAACGAAACCTAACCTATTTAATAATTGTGTTTACAAACGAATCAGACAGAGCAGCAGGACTTAACGAAAATAAATAAACTAGCATACCGTCATAGTTGAAACGATAATAAATTACACTTAATCTTCGATTAATAAAGATCATTGTTTTATATTGAGATATACATTTGTTAATATATATATTAAATATCTTCTTAGATTTAATTCCAATGAGATATTGATATTTATCTCTGTTGTGAATTGTCTCTTTGATTCTAAACTTATACTTGATATAATAATATCTATTATCCAGTATATTAAATATTCATTTATTTTAATTTGATTTAAATTAATAGAATAGAGATATTAAAATAATATAATAAAGATATATATATATCTTATCAATAATAATATAATATATCTTATCAATAGTAATATATATATCTTATCAATCTTATATCTTATATATTATATATAGAAAGAGACTAACTATGACTTTATAGTTAAACGATCGATAAATCTACGACCATTGCCTAAGCCAGGGCTCAATCCAGACGTAGTGTTCCGTACCCCACCTATATACTTACCCGTGTGCTAGCTAGCTAGCTAGCTAGCTTGGCGTAGCTGCTTTTCCCCCACCTAAGAAATGTTCTCTCCTTGACGTTCGGCAGTGAGAACCAACCGTAGGAAGGTGTAATAGTAGTGGGGTAAGGGATACGTGACAGTGAGAAGAGAGTACCACGAGAAAATACCACACTAGAAGTGTGGGTTAAGGGGGCTGGGGGATAAAGAGAGATACATATTCCTTGTTGTATTCTTACATTAGTATATGTGTGTGTGAGAAAGAGAAGAGAGCAGGCGCGCGAGCGAACGAACGAACAGCAGACCATCATCGAAGAAATGTGGGAGTAAAAGATCACGCGATTAGAAGATTTTCCATCACTTTAAATGCATCCTTGCTAATAAATACACTACCACCACCACCATTATTGAACGTTTTCAATGATATATACAAGCTTTGATAATGAAATTTGTTTCTTACTAACTAACCCCATATATTTGTTAAAAATAATTAATTCGTTTTGGTTTCTTTTTTATTTCCCTTTTCTATGATTTTATTCAAATTCAATGTTAAATCATTGTGTTTTCTAGCAATCACGTTGGGACTTCCAACCTCCCACCATCACCCCATCATCATCATCATCATCATCATCCCTACCACTACCTCCACCATCGTGAATCAAAATAGCCGAAAATTCTATTTTATTTTTGGACGACATTCGCATGAATTTTGTTCTATCTGTTATAATTTCGTAACATTGCATTAATTCAACAAAAAATCACATTTACGCGCATATTCCTCTCATTATGGACTTTTTTGTTTTTTATTATCATGTTGAGAATAGCATGCTAATATCTGTATTATGCTAATTTAATCTAAACGTTTACTTAAATGCTCCATCGTGGATATGTCATTCGTTGACCAATGGATGCACCTTTCGGTTTTATATTATTAATCTTTTGTGTTCTTGCTTCTTAGGTTGTTTGTTCTTTTTCTACACAAAATTTATTTTCTCTTTTGTATTATATTTATTCAACAAAAATTTTTATAATAAATATGAAAATAACTTATTATATATTATATATATATTGCAATGGCATCATTTAAGAAGTTTAGGTTTGTCTACTGATAGAGAACGAATGTATACCAAGCCTGAGTTATTTTCGGGTATGCGGAGGGGTAGTTGTTAATCTGACCCGGTGACCTATCTGTTCAGGAGTCGAACAGCTTGCCTCTATTTACGGGCACACGGGTGGGCTCAGGTCGTGCAAGAATGATTTGTCCATTCAATGAATCAATTATAAAAGTGAAATGATAATTGTCATCAAAATGTCGAATTATTTCAGATATGAGATTCATGAGAAACGTGTTGTTGTTTGTACCCTATTTAGAAGAGAAATCACAATCAACAGCGTGTAAGGGGGTGTTCCTTTTGCTTTAGTATTGTTTCGATCAAACTTTTTATTACTGTGTTACTATCATCTAGTTTATCTTCTGGTTTCTCATTTTTGTAATAATAATAATTGTAAAGATCATTGAGTGTATATTTAACACCAATGTATATGTATCTTCTTTTTAATGTTGTTACACACAGGGTTTAGAAAATTAGATCGTAAATAAAATAGATTTGTTATTCTCGAACCACACTATATAACTACTTTCACTCGTTTCAAATCTCGATAATATATTAATGGTAATAGAAAATATTCATTTAAACAGATAGTTGCAAACAATCGTGTCGAAAGTGAACGGCCTTTCCTATTTGACGTTCACGTTTTGCTGCTAGGAGGTGGTGGTGGCTTTTTACACATTAGCCAATGAGATTAAATATTATTTCTCTCTCTCTCTAGATTAATTACTTTTTTTTCTCTCTCTCTCTCTCTCTCTCTCTCTCTCTCTCTCTCACTATATTTCTTGTTTTCGTTTTTAAGCATTTATAAAACAGAAAGAAAGTTTATTTTAATATCGATATATCCTATAATACCAAAAGAAGTTTTGGTATTATAAATCAGAGGTTTTGCGCCCTCGCACGGAGCTTGAAACAATTCGAAATATAGGTCAATCGATAAAATGCTTTTCGCCTTGTGTGCCATCGTGAAGGTGCATTCAATCCTTTCCCTTTTGCATGATACGTATCATCGGAACAACGACCAACCCCTCTTTCATTGTCGTTCATTGTTCATTACCGAAGACTTTTCTTGATAAGAATCCTAACATTAGACGATGGGGTGGGTGGCTGAGGGACGGAAAGGAAGAGGATCAATTTATTCCTAATTTCACTTATAGTTAGGAATAATGAGAATTTACTTCCTTCTGTATATTATATAATAATATCAAATATAACAACACACTACTATGACAATATAATCTAAATGAAATAATTTAACATTAGATTTACTTTTTTTTTTGATTTGTTAAATAATTATTTCATCGTTTTAAGAGACATCTTCATTAGAAGTAATTACCTTGAATTAAATTTTGAAAAAAGAAAAAGAAGGAAAGAGTAAGAAATTGCTCGCTCAAAGTGTGTGTATGTGTGTGTGGTATGGTCAGCGAGAAAGAGATGAGCCCCATTATAATACTGTCCTTGTCTTCCGGTCAAACATTTGACATACTTTCGAAGCACATCAGACTTCTCTTCCTAGAGAAGAGGAGAGAGGTCTCAAGTAAAATAAAACGAGTCCGACCGAGTTGTCCAACTTTAAATGGATTCCAAGGATAAAATGAATATCCGTTTGTAATAATTTAATTGTCTTATACGTATATAATATAACATGTTAAACGCGTGACTAATCTGATAGGATTTTTCATTTAAGCGCAGTGTACTACTACAACAACAACATTAAAATAAAATCAATTTCATATTAACGATAGAAACATTAAAAAATACAATATACAAATTTTATCTAAATTCGATTTCACTTTGAGATATTATCGATATCGTTTAAACGGAAGAACTTTATTTTACGCAATATATAACACGTGTGTAACGTTTAAACGTTTTTTAATTTATTATATTTGAAATGCAATATCAAACGTTAAAGTGTGGAAACATTATTATCGTTATCTTTGTATAGGGACATTGTCCAATTATTATATAAATAAATCGCGTTAGATGATGTTCTTTTCCGTTCGTCAAACATCCTAATGTAAAACGACAGAATAAGCAAACAAGAATGACAACAATGTCGAAGATTAATTTAACCAACAATATCCAATTAGAGACGACTAAGGAGACCGCATTTATACGGTTCTTCCCAACGGTCGATATCACGTGGCCGTCTACGAACCACGTGACTCTCTATTCGAATCAGCATAACGTTTACCTTCAAGAGTAATAAATTATATGTTTTTTTTTTTTTTTCCTTTTTTTTTATTCCTTTAGCGTAAGAATATTTTATTTATCGCTCGATTGTCCATAAATGACTGATAATGAAATGGAACTGTGAGAAGGGGGCTGAGGGTGGGGGAGGAAGAAGAAGAGAACAGAGAGAGAAAGTGATAATTCAAAAAGTGCAAAGTCATATAAGAATGAATATTACATACGCGCGCGGTTCGATGTATTAAGTATCGGTCAAAGAACTTGAGCGATTTTTAATAAAAGGATATCTCAGTATTCTTTGTTAAACTTTTAAAGGTTATCTTTTTCTTTCTTTCTTTCCTTCGTTTTTCTTTTTTTTTAATTTGAGAATTCGAAGATACATTTTTATTACAATTAATGACACTTCATATTTATCTCATATAGATTGTGGTGGCATAGAATTTTATTTAGATTTTAATAACTTTGTTTTCTCTTTTTTTTTTTTTTTTTTTTTTTTTTTTTTTTTTTTTCATTTTGTTAATATGAATATCAACGTTCGAACGTATGGTTACTTTCTTATTAATATTATTATTGAGGTTAGATCGAAAGAAAGAGGGAATTTGGATTCTTATGGGGTTTTTTTTTTCTTCTTCTTCTTCTTCTTTTGGAGATGAAAGAAGAATAAGATGATATCTTTAGGGTGAATCGTTACGCTCCTGGTGTTCTCTCAGCGAAGTATATTGCGGCCTCGCCCCCCTTTCGCGGGCAATCGATGCATCTAGAAAACTACAGATGGTAGCACCGTCTCGGTTCCTGCCCACATGTGCAAAGAAAGATGGCCGTCGCCGAGGCCTGTCTCTTCTCCTCCTCGTTGTTCCTTCCCTCGCGTACGTGCCACACCGTTGACGACTCGTGCAAGCGTGCGCGCTGTTAAAAAAAAAAAAAACGAACGGACGAACGAACGAGATTTGTGAAAGTTTTATTTGCCACGTTGTTTTTTTACGAACAATATTTATAAACAATACGGGTGAGAAAAGCTTCGAAGAGAAGAAGCATTAACGGTGAGAGAAAGATTTTAAAAAATAATATATATATATATATAGAGAGAGAAAGATAGAAAGAAAGAGACACGCGAGTTTATTGAAAACGTCTGTTAATTTTTTCCTATCGAGATTTTTTTTTTTACATTTGCGTAAAATTGTGTATATTAATTTTTTATTATATTATATTTTATAACTCCAATAAATATGTATATTATTTGTCTTCTTCATTTTTTAGAAGGAAGTAACTTTGGACATATAAAAAAAAAAGAAAAAAAAATTGATGTGCTAGCAGCAGCAACCATTTCTTATCTTATCATTTCTAAGAAATTTCAAGGAACGTCTCTGGGTATTATAATTCTCTTCTCTCTCTCTCTCCCTCTCTCTCTCTTATTCGACGCGTAGACATTTTATTTTTTCTCTAGTTTTATTATTTCGTTAGCATTTATTTCTTTTTATTTCTTTTCTGTTGTTACCATGATTGACGTAATATATAACGTGTGTAACAACGTGTAACCCCCTTCGTGAACAACTATAAGAAGAGAACTAGGAGGAGAATATATACGAGACGACGATGACGTTGACATAGACGTACTTTAGCGGAATGTACCTAGCGTAATCGCTTTCACAAGTAACTCTGATTTTATTACTTCAGCGACAGCCTCGAGAAGTGAGAGATACATAGTCATCGTAGTTATCCCCTCCCCTCCCTTCCCATTCGCACGATTTCTTTTCTTGAGTATATATATATGTATATGGACACACACACATTTATTAAGAAGAAAATATGGTATAAAACATTGTACATTTATTGTTCCTTTTTTAGTTGATACTAGTAACAGAAGGTAGAGAAGATACAGTTTACAATTAATAAGAATTTTGGATATCCTTAGGTAATAATGAAATATATTAAGTGACAAAGTATGTACGTGCGAAAAAGAATGAAGCTGCTGGATAGTTGTTAATGGTATTACAACCTTGAAGAGCTATGTTGCGCAGTGTACGATCAAGTATCGAGATGTGTAGTGTGTCTAGCAGGTCTAGTTGTTGCGTATGCACGGAATATGGCGAAGCTAGTTCATTGGAAAAATTCGTTTTACATCGTCATCGTAAAATGATGATGATGATGATAATGATAATCATCATCATCATTCTCGTCATCATTTATGTGCACGCAATTTCTAAAATCTATGGTCTCGCATTAGGCCAAGTCTTATTAATACTTCTTTTGCTCTCTTTTGGTGTTTCCATTTTTTATTTCTTTTCTCGATTCGAAACTTTTACAAATTGTGCTATTCCATTATTCGCTTTCCATATATTCGAACTTCTATATTATCATTTGTGACAAATAAGAAGGAAGGAATAAGATGAATTTAGATGATTAGAAGATTTTTCTACAATGTTTCTTCCTATCTGGTATTTTTATTAGATTCTTAATAATGCAGGTTTCTCTTAAAATATGAAAATATAGTTAAAGTATTCTAATACAAGTTTGAATTATTAATAGTAATCATTGTGTGTAGTAGTTTGAATATAATTTTCATATGGAAAAATATATTAATTTTTTAATACTCTACTATAACTTTTGATATGTAAAACAGATTATCGTTTTGTTATAGGGTCCGAGTTTCATGTTCCGACTGCGAACTACGGCGCCCAGCCAGGGGGCCAGGTGGGTGGAGGAGGGGGGAGTGTAGGTGTACCTGGGGGTAGAGGACCTCCACTTGGTGGATTGCCCTTAGGGCAATCCACAGCGGGTATACCGCCAGGGGGACCAGCTGGAGGACAGGCTCCTCCACAGGCCCAAGCACCAGGAGTACAAGCACAACAAACACAAGGGCCAGCACCTACAACAACGCCACCAGTGCATACTCCTTCACCTCAAGAAATGGGAAAACCAACACATATGCAGACGCATGTATGTTTTATATTGAAAATCAATCAGAATACATAGATACTACAGTATAATCATTTTATAGGTTGCAATCTCATTGATAAATCAAATATAATTTTCAGAACTATTATTCAGCTGCTCCAAGACCTCAGCAGCCAAGAAATTTAAATCATAGAGGTGGACAGGGAGGAACTAATAATCAGGTTGTTGGTATGGCGGGGGTAGCTGGAGGTGCCGGGCAACCACCCGTCATGTATACAGCTGGCTTAACAAGTCAGCCAGGGGCAGTATTTGTTCCTAGTCATGTTGCTGGTATACCAACAGGGCCCCACCAACAATCTGTTTATCATATGAATAATCAATTAATTCAGGTAATTATTTTATCCTTTATATTTTTCTATTGTGTCTGGTTATTCTAAAGAATCGATAATTATAGTATATAATAGTCCAACACAAATATATAACACTTGTTAAATGTGACATTACAGTTCTCAAGCGCGCCCCAAAGACATCAGACACAAGGTCAATCCTACTATCCCCCTTATCAACCACATGCTCTGCTAACACAAAATTTATATCCTTATCAAGCTGGGCCAGCGCCTCAGCCTAGCTGTAAGTATAACGTAACATTATCATTATTATTATTAATATTAGACATTAATAAAATGGCCTATTAATGTCTTAATAATACTTATTTTTAGTTTTCTACGCATCTCCCACTGCCCCACTAGGTATAAATAGGTCAAGTGCAACTGCTGTTAGTAGTGGAGCTCAACATGTTGGAAGCGCACTTGGCGGCGCCCAAGGAGCTGCAATGGTACCACAAGGTACCCTCCAACAAACGACCCAACAACCTCAACCGCTACCCCAAATAGGTACGTTTATTTAATCCTTAGACTGTTAACGGCATAAATATATATATACACATACATACATATATATGTTAGCATTACTTTGTGAAATCCATTAATTCATAAAATTCACTAAATTGTGAAATAAAATATATTAGATTTCGTACTTTAATTAAGTATGATATATGTATAAATTTACAAGAGAGAGAAAAGAGAGACAAGTAATGTTAAAGTATAAGATTGAAATTTAAAATCAAATTTCCTCTCGTAAATTTCTATATTAGCTAATTAAAGTATGTAATTGTGCCTTCATGGTTTAACTGATTATTTTATGAATTTACGGATTTTGCGTTTTAATAGTAACATATATATACACATTCACATATATTTATCAAAATATATGAATGATGTATATATACATTTGCTTATAATCATTGATATATACTATAGTATTAAAAAAACCAACATCAGCGTAAATGCAAATATAGAGTTGTATAATTTGATGGTTCTGAGTTGTATCATGCCGCAGTCTTAAGGATTAAATAAATAAATTATAAAAAGAGTATATTTATACATTAGATAATTTCTTAAAGTTATTATAATCGACGTTAATATTTAATTTCTCATATTTATTTATTTTCTTTTTTTTTTCATATAGGAATTCACAAGGCTTAATTAATGAACATGATTAACTAAAAATTGATTATTTTTTATATAAAATGTCCTATATTTATGATTTTATTTTTTTTATATAAAAAAAGAAAATAATTCTTCATGGCTGTAGTTCTAAAGGTATAATCAAAAAATACACCTACCCAAACGATTATAATATGAATAATTCAAAAGTAACATAGTTAGAACATTTCGAAATTTGATCAGTCTGTTAGAAGTTAGTGAAAATGCAAGACATTGAATTCTCTCGGCTTTGTAATTGAATTTTCAATTGTCCAATTGTCCAATATTCTGTAAAAAGATATATTTTGTCAATTAAATATAAAAATTTTCTAATAATTATCTCTATTATATAATATTAAACATGATATATTATATAAATATATCACAAATAAGTTAAATACTTTTATAGTTACATGTACTTAAGTATAAATTATTATACTTGAATCGTGTGTAAAAAACAATGTTATTAATATTTTAAACTTTTTATCGTGAATATTCTATTACTTAGACTTATATTTTGGTTTGCACACCATGTAAACAACATACACGTTAATTTAATTATTTTTTAAAGAAATTACTCCAATTGATTAAGAAAAAAAGTTCGATTTAAATTTATATTTCATACATTCAAATGTATGCATAAAGTTTGTAGTTTTTAACACGTTCGTTGTCCAGTTCACATACATTTAGATGACGCCTAATAGTTGAGAACATATTCTGACAAAAACAAGTTTGGACAACAAACGTGTTAAACAACAACAAAAATCGTTTTAATGGTGTCTTGCTAAAATTATCTTGGACGTCAGCCAGAAAGAATTAATAATTCGTACACTGCATGATATTTGTCATATGAACTTTGAATAATTATGAAAAAAGAAATAATTAAATTTATTAATATCCCTTTTGAATAATCATTTTTTTTTTTTAACAAAATTATATACATTTTTTAAGGCTATAATAATTATGACGTTGTATATGGCTCTTCTCTAGTTCCTGGATATTACAAAGATTATAGTAAGCATAACATTCATATCTATTTTATAGAAACTAAGGTCTTTCTACTATCAGTCAGTATAAAAAATATCAATATAAATCTACATTCAAATAATATATACATATACATACATATATATTATATATTATATTTA